GACAGCTTAGAGAAGTTTGGGGAGCTTGTGAACCAAGGAATGGAATGTTCCTATCATGAGACTTCAAGAGGAGGATCTCTGTGTTGGACCCTTAGCTTTAAGTGCTCACAACAAGCCTACAAGGAGGTGTAATCATCTCACATCTACAGATGAGGCAATGGAGGCCTAGAGATGACAACTGCTTTGCAATGGTCACATGACCTGCATTTGGGGGAGTTGAGATTCAAGGCCAGTTATCTCCAGCAGTCAGTGTCAGAGCAGCCACAGGGCCCCCACAAAATGCTCTCAGGATCAAGCAGTGATGAAACAGGCAGCCCTTCTTGATTCCTTGCTAACCTCAGAGATTATCACCTTTTTCATTTTTATATCAGTATAAATTGAATGTTCAAAAAATGAATGTGTAAAAATTGCCATTGTTCTCAATTCTGGAAAATCCTCAGAATAATGGAGGAGTTATTTTAAAAGAGTTGTGTGGCCTTGGGCAAAGTCATGTCAACTTTCAGCCATGGTTTTGACATCTGTGCAATTAAGATAACACCCACTTACTGGTTGCTGGGCAGATTAAATGAAAAAAATAGATGTAAAAGAGCTTAGCACCTTGTCAGTGCTTAATAATTGTAGGTCCTCTTATTTCCTGCAACAAATATTATCGAATAAACTAGAGGCCCAATGCACAAAGATTCGTGCAAGAACAGGCCTTCCTTCCTTCCCCTGGCTGCCAGCACTGCCTTCGATCCAGCCCGGAGCTGCCTTACGCCTTCGCGCACTGCCCAGAGGCCTGGAGCAGCCAGGTCAGGGTGGGGCAGAACACTTATGTTGTTGCCATGGTGACGACGCAAGCATCCAGGCCACTGCCGTCTTTGTCACGTCAATTTGCATATCCCCTCCTTATTGGCTGTGGGTGCCACCATCTTTGCCATGAAGTGACGGTCGATTTGCATATTCTGTCTTTATTAGATAGGATGGTATTTGCACAATAATATAGCTATTGAATATGTCCCTTGTGTTTGGTGCTGAAACAACTCTGTATCTAACCCCCCCTACAACATGGGTGGTAGGTACTACTTTTACAGAAGAGGAAACTGAGGCTCAAGGAGGTTACACAGGAAGTGGGATGACTGGGATTTGAACCCACACACACTGAAGTTAGAAGGCATATTTTAACTATCATGCTATCCTACCCTTCAGGAAATAAGCATGGATAGACATTTCATGTGGCCAAGGTTGACCTTGATGACTTGCTTTTGTTCTTTTAGTCCCCATCCAACTCCTTCTTGGGAAATGAATGATGTTTGTGTGAGTTCCCCACTCTCTTAAGGATGCTACACTCAGAAAGCTTCATCAATTGCTTGCAATTTTGCCTGTTCCTCATAAACCCTCAAAAGCAAGCTGCATGAGGTCACCAGAGCAAGTGGCAGATGAGATGCTCTTACAAACTCTTTTTGTGCCTGATTTCTCCCCAGAGAGGGCCTTGCTCCTCTAGCTACTATATATATGCTGGTATATGGCTGCAGTACCCACAGAATAAAGAGGATATCAAGGTTTCCTGGTCTTCTCCAGCAGAAGAGGCTTCCAGAAGGAGGCGCTGTGGGACACCTCTGACACATGGTATAGGTCTCACACCAAGGCCCGTGCACAGAAACATTTTCTCCATTTTTTTTATCTGCTTCTCTAAAGTAGGGGTCCTCAAACTTTTTAAACAGGGGGCCAGTTCACTGTCCTTCAGACCGTTGGAGGGCTGGACTATAGTTTTAAAAAAACTATGAGCAAATTCCTATGCACACTGCACATAATCTTATTTTGAAGTAAAAAACAAAATGGGAACAAATGCAATATTTGTATTTGCATGTGGCCCACGGGCGTAGTTTGAGGACCACTGCTCTAAAGGAAGGGAGGACCCAAGGAAAGAGGAGGGAGGGTGGGAAGGAAAAGAGACCTCCTCTTCATTGTCACATCTTGTTATTAGGAAGCAAATTCTTCCACATCAATTCTGAACCAATTGCTCTGCTGAGAACAGAGAGAACCAAGCATGCCATGGCTGCCGTGGGATGGCTGGCTCTGTAGGACTGAGGGCAGGGGCTGCGCACAGTCCATGGGTTCTCTCTGTGGTTCAGGAAGGGCTGTCATGGCAACGGTCAATGTCAGGTGTCTGGGGCTCCCCAGATTCACATGGCTAATATTTCCTGTGCTCTAAGCTAGGTGTGGAAGCACAGAAAATAAACATCACAAAGCCTGACTTTAAAGAGTTCCCAGTTACTGGGAGAGGCAGGCACACAATGGATATCCTACAGGATCCATTAACACTTTCTAGCACGATCTAGGGAGCATCTATTCTGTGCCAGGTATTGTGCAGCATGACATGGATTCAGAGTGACCATGAAGCTTGGAGTCTAATGTCATAGTCTACTGTTGAGGATGCTGAGAGAGCACAGGGGCGAGTTTCTACCCAGACTTGGAAAAATCCTGAAAAGTTGTGTGGAGATGCCAGGACAGAAGCGGGTAGAAAGGAAGCTCCATGCAGAAGGAAGATCATGATCAAATGCATGATGGCATGAAACATTTTATACATAGGACACTACAAGGCTGGGTGTGTGTGTCCATCTTTCAGTGGTTGGTCCTTAAGATTGAACTTGGAGCCCCTGGAGCACGGGCTATAGCAGCTCCATAGGAAGGTGATGGGCCAGTCCAGGCACAGCTCCTGGGGGCTATGAGGAAAACCATGTAACTGGGTATGTCCTCTTTTACATGTAGTCACCCTCATCCAAATGTCCTCCCATGGCAAGTTCCCTGGAGATGAATCTCACGCCCCTGGTGTGCAATCTCTGCTTATGGCGGGCTCTGATAAACCCTTTAAAGAGACGCTTGTTCAATTGGGGGTGGGGTGAGGGGGTGAGGGGAATATCTGTAATACCTTCGATGATAAAGATACATTTTTAAAAAAAATACATTTTATTGATTTTTTAGAGAGGAAGGGAGAGGGATAGAGAGTTAGAAACATCGATAAGAGAAACATCAATCAGCTGCCTCCTGCACACCTCTTACTGGGGATGTGCCTGCAACCAAAGTTCATGCCCTTGACCGGAATCAAACCTGGGACCTTTCAGTCTGCGAGCTGATGTTCTATCCACTGAGCCAAACCTGTTTTTAAAAAAGAAAAAAAGAGCAGCTGGTTAATGTGGGGGTTCAGTTATTGAGCATGTGGCGAGGTTGCCATGCAGGGAGATATGCTACCCCCCCTCCCACCCCGGCCCCCCACATGGACCAAATATCTCCTCCTTCTCTCAAACATCAGTCAGGGCCCTACGGCAGGCCAGGCTCACACTCGACTCTGTGGCCCCTATTTTCCCAATGAGGTGCCTGGGGCTGGGAGATGTTCACTAACCTGCCCAAGGTCTTTCTGTCCTGATAGAGTCAAGCCGAGATCATAGCTATGTCTGCTTCACACATGCTTCTCGGAGGCTCTCTACACATGCATCCTTAGCATTCGGGCCTCAGCTCAGACGGGAACTCTCTCGATCTGAAGAGGCCCCCTCTGCCACCGCTTTCCTTTCATAGCACTAATCCTCTCTGCTAGGACAGCCCCAGCTTCTTCATCTGCCTCTCTCCCCCAACTCCATGAGGCCAGGACCTCTCTGGACTCCTTTACTGCTCTATCCATGATGCTCCAAGCAGAGCCTGGGACTTGGAAACCCCCAACCAATGGTTGCTTCATAAACAAAGCCATCTGGCTGGCCCCTAAGCCCGGCCCTCTCCACTCCACTGGTGTAGCTCATACTGGTGGCCAGTGGCCCACTGGGAGCTTGTGAGGAGCCCCCTGGTGACTGCAGACTGACTTTCTGAGTCGAGGACTTTCTGGGCTTCTCATGGGTCAGGGCAAGCAATTGCATAGATTTTCATTTCTACTTCAATAAAAGGACTGTCCAGCAACATTCTATGTGACAAACATTTGAGATTCATAAATGAATAGATTTCATAACATGTTTCTGGATGATTCAGACTCACTCTTCTTTCTACCCTTGAGTCAGCCTTAGGGTCGCACCGACCTCTCGGATGCGCATCCTTGCAGAGCGTAGGATGCTCGCTGCTGTCAGCAAGCACTGGCTCCGGTCGCTGTGAGTGTTGTTCTGCATGGGCTCTGACTTTCAGTCGCTGGTATTGCGTTTCAATCAGTTCATGTGTTCACTCACTCTTAGTGTTTATGTTGGTTGATTTCTGTGTTTCCTGTGGTGCCACCTTAATCGTGATTGTATTCCTCTCTAACGCTTTCTTGTCCCAAATTATGTTTTCCACTAAAAAACAGTGAGGACCATCAGCCCTATGAAAGTGGGTCACAGGCCCGAGTGTTTGGGAAAGAATCCTTGCACCCCACCTCAGGACCTCTCGTGATTCGTGAACCACCATTTTTTATTTATGACAAGACATGTGCGTTCCTAAAAATCGACACACTAGGGAAAATGAGGAAATTGGGCGAGGGGCACAACCCTCAGAAACATCATCAGTGACAAATAACAAGGAGTGAGAGGAAAAACATTAGCACGGCTTTACATGGCTTCATGGCTAAGAAATGTAGGTGCTACAGTAAATACGGCGCTTTACCTCAGAGAGGCCTGGTCTTTGCTCGTGGAGGTGGCCATAGGAAGGGTTGCAGCTTGTGCAGTACTGTGAGCGGGTGGAAGGAGGGTGGTCTGAACAGGATGGAAAGTTGTAGCCACAGGTGCAGTGGGTGCAGCTCCTAACAAGGTGGACCGAGGAGTTGGTAGATGTTGGAGGTGTGCACTTGTTGTACATTCCTGAATGGCTCACTTCAGCTGGGCACAGTTTCCTGCAGTCGCCCAGTATGTCTCAGTGAGACAATTTTGCGTAAGCAAATGGGAAATTCCTGTCATCAAATGACTCCCTCATATGTGAGTTGTGTTGGAACAAATTCAGGTATTGAAAACAAGTGTCCTAGCGGAACTGGCTGTCCCCGATTGACTTTCCTTCTCCCCTTGTTTATTCAGACTGGACCAAGAGGATCGAGTACCAGCCTGGCTCGGGGAGTGTGCCCCTGTTCCCCAGCATCCACCTGGAGACGTGCGATGGGGCCTTGTCCTCCATCCAGATCACCACGGAGCTGCAGACCAATTACATTGGGAAGGGATGTGACCGGGAGACCTACTCGGAGAAATCCCTTCAGAAACTATGTGGTAGGTTTTCCCCTGTAGGGGTTTTCTTTAATTAATTGCTTTTAAATGATATATACAAAGCATATCTGACCATATTATGAGAGTATCAGCCCTTCCCACCTCGTTGTGGCTCCTGGATGAATGTTAAGTTTATTTCGTGTGATTAAAGCGTCAGAAGGCACAGCTTTTGATATCAGACACACCTGATCTGACCCCGACATTTACCCATTGTGTGGGCAAGGGCGGTGACAAAGCCTCTATTCTTTATCAGTAAAACAGGGATTAATGACGCAATGTGTTTAAGAGCACCTAGCACAGGGCCTGAAGAAATATGGGTTTCCTTCCGCTGTTGGTTTATAGAGGCACCTGACAATATGAAGGGTGCTGTCAGTTACCTGGGGAGGGGGTGGACTCCTCTCCCCTGGACCAGCTACATAATTTGCAGGGCTCAGTGCAAATGAAAATATGGGACCCTTATGCAAAAAATCCTGAAAAATTTTAATAATAAAACCACAAAGCATTCAACCAAGCTGGGGGCCCTGTGCGGCTGCTCAGGTCGCATGCCGGTAAAGCCCGGCCTGGCTGCCTACATCAGAGAAGAAGGGCTTGGGTGGGGAAGAGGTGGGCAAAGTGAAGGTGTCCAAGTGTGGGGGAGGGGCCTGCCTCTGTGAGCGGGGAGATGGTGCCACAGGAAGGAGCAGGCTGGGAACTAGGACAAGGGCTCAGAGAGGGGGGCCACCCAGGACACTTAGCTTTATTGAGCCCCTACTTAATGCAGCCTGCCAGACTCTTCACATGCATCACTGTATTTACTTCTCTCGTCCTCACTGTGAGAAGGGTGTTATTCGCCAACTTTAAAGATGGAACATGTGAGGCCCAGAGAGGGAGACATGACTTATTCAAGGTCACACAGATAGAAAGTGACAGAGCCAGAATGCGAAGGTGGGCCTCTCAGAAGGAAAGTCTCTTTAGCTCGGAATCTGAGATGATAGGCCAGGCCTTGGGAGCTAGGATGGGAACCCGTCCGGTCAATCTGTGGAATGAGAGGATGCTCAGTATGGTGGGAATGATCCCGTAGACATGGTAAATGAGATTGTTGATGGGCTTCATTCATCCCCACCCGAATATGTGTTATTTCTTCTTTGTTCTCTTCAAAAATACTCAGGAACTCACTTTGACTCTGCAGCAGTGCTATAGGGAGCTTAGTCTTATACCAGGCCTGTATTTGGGGGCAACTACATTTCCACAAAGGGAATGGGGGCTCCTGAGCACAGTCTAGCCTGCCATCCCCTCCTGGGAGTCCCTCCATTACTATCTTTGGAACATTTTCCCCCATCAACATTATTTTACACATACACACCACCACCACCACACCCCACACCCCCGCCATCAAAATGCTGGTTGCCCAAAGAGCCAAGTGAAACGTTTGGAACTGAATGTGAAATAAACCCTGCTTGAGTATCACCGTGTTTCATTTACTATGTCACCAGGCCGGCAAGGAAGGCCTGTGGGAACACAGACTTCTCCAGAATGATGTAGGTGAGCAGGGACATTGCCACACCGCCAACATCCCAAACAGCTCTTGCAAAATGGATATAAGGGGCCCGCAATATTCAGAAAACTGCCTCCAGTCCTCTCCCGCACTCTGCGGACAGAGAAGCCATCCCAGAGGACATCTTACTTTGAATGAATATCCCATTTCACTCCCTGCGCACCTAAATGATCACCTAAATTATGAGTCCACGCGACCCCGCGCCACCCTTTGGGTTACAGCCATTTCCTGAACTCCTCCAGGTTGCAAGGCGATGATGGAATCAGCTTGTTAAAGACCAGGTGGGCCCAGGGGCACACACTTGTGATTTGATTTTGAATGTTGCTGGGAGAGATGAGGAGATATGGAGAGTGAGAAGCATTTTCTGTGGGAAGAAACTTTAGCACAAAATTGCATCTGGTGTTAACACAGCTCACTCCTCTGGGCTGCCAGCTCGCCTTGCAAGAGGGCAGGTTAATTCGGTCAAAAAAGCGGTTTCCCTAAGGTGCATGCAAGATTACCCGGTGCTCAGAGAGAGCCTTTGTTGAGAGACACCCGCGTGTCTTTTTGGTGACCTTCCCGATAGTGCCCCCCTCCGCCCTGGTGGGAACTCTGCCTGAGTAGCCTGATGGGCAGGGCCACGCCAGCCGCCCTATTCCGAGTCTGGGTCTTGAATTCCGCTGAGGTGGAGCTCAGGGAAAAGGGCAGAGGCAAATGAGGGGGACTCGGATGCCCATCTCGTGCGAGAATCTCCTTCAGAACGAGGCAGCTCATCAGGCCCCGTGGTTTCTGCCAGCGAGGGAGACGCAGGCTGATGGCTCCTCAAACGGAGCCTGGGTTGTCTTCTCTGACCCCTGGAGGATCCCGGGGTGCTGGAGACGAGCCTCTGTGTGCCTTCGGTGGATGGTAGGCAAGTTTCTCGCGGGGTCTCTCAACCAGGGAACTTCCATGACACCGTAAGCCTCAGCATTCATGCATTTTTTTATTCTACAAATCTTTATTTGGGTGGAAATGGGGAGACCAATTAGGATGTTATTGCCACAGTCTGAGAAAGAGATAACAGGCTCTGAACCCAGGCAGTGGCAGTCGGGATGAATTTAAGACAGAGTTAGGAGGCCAAATCGGCAAGATTTAATGATTCATTGGAAGTCAGGAGTGAGAAAGAAGGCATCTAAGATGACTCCGGGATGAGCATCTAGCTAGACGAGGGTGCCTCCCATGAGAGCTAGGAGCCCAGGGCAAGAGCAGGGTTAGGGGGCAATGGTGGCAGTCACCTGTGGAACCTCCAGATGTGGTGCCTCGCTCTAGCCTTACCCTCGACCCTCCTGAAGACCTGCCTCCACCTGCCCATCCATCCTCACGGCCCATTTCCTCCTGATGTTCTGCCTCTCTTGGCCAGCATGGCTCCTTTATCCCCGCACCTGGCTTGTTCCCATCCGTAAGGCTCATTCATGTTTCCTTCTGCTAGGATGATCTCCCTCCCCCTTCATCATTCTAAACCCTTTCCTTTAGTCAGTATTCTCTGCCCTCTGTGCTCGCTGGGTGGCCGCCCTGGGGTTCCCCCCTTGTGCCTTTGAATCCCCGCATCTCTTCTATGATGCTGAGGCTGTGCAGGGACCTGGGCAGGGGTGTCTCCTCAGAGGAACGCAGATGTCTGGTCATTGCCCACTGGCTTCCTCCACCTGCAGCATCGGCTCCATGAGGAGCAGTGATAGCATCCTGGTTAGGGGGAGTCAGACAATAACTGCACAAAGCCTGCTGTCAGGAGGTAGCTGGCAGGTGCAACAGCACTTGATATGGCCTCTCTGGTTTTTTGCTTGTTTTCATTTATCTTTATTGTTGAAAGTATTACATATGTCCCCTTTCTCTCATGGACCCCTTCTAGCCCAAACCCACCCCCCACCCCAGCCTTCACCACGCTATTATCGCGTCCATGGGTTATGCATAGTGCATATAAGTACTTTGGTTGACCTCTTCCCACCCACCACCCACCCCTGCCTTCCCTCTGAGATGCCGCAGTCTTTGTTCGCAGTGAAGTGCTGGACGCTGGGCGGCAGGCGTATTGCTGCCGGGGGTTTGTACACTGAGACTCTTCCACTCCGCCTTGAAGTAAAAATAATCAGGGCCCCGAACCCGTGTCCCCTTCATCTTGTGGGGCTGGACATAGCCCCTACTGCCCTTGCTTTGCAAAGAGCCAGGCTTCTTGGAGAAGTTGGGCAAATTGCGTACCATTTCCTCTTAATTCTGAGATTTAAGATGAAGGTCTCTGCCGTCTCAGCACCTGGCTTTCCGGAGGTGAAGTGTCACGGAGCTGCCTTGAGTAGGAAATGCGTGGGGAAACCTTTGGGAAGACCTCTTGGCCAAATTAGATTTGACATTAACAAGGGCCCAGGAAAAGGCCTGCTTCGATGACCTCCAGTCACTGCATATTACAGTAAACAGAAAAGTAGTTTGTGGTGCACAGGCCTTCAGAGCCCCGAGGCCAGGGGCTGCTCCTCCTCAGGACCACAGGAGTGCTGGCAGCGGCGGCACCTCCCGCACCCGTCACCTCCTCAGCTCTTTTGTACGTGGAGGCGTGAACTGCGAGGACAGGTCTTGTTGAAGGAAAGGCCACAGGATAAGAGCTATTAAATTAAGCGATGGATAGGTCAGAGCAGCTCAGGTCACTGGACATTACATTGTTCTCAGAATTCATGCTTATGAGCCAGGAGACTTTCCTAGAGGATCCATTCATTTAAGTATTTGTTAATTCAACAAATACCTATGGAGTGTCCACATGCTGTAAGGTAAGAAGACCACCTAATTCAGGCTCCTGGGAAAGACAAACAGGCCGAAAACCACATGTGGCAGCTTAATAGCTGCCCTCGCCGAGAATCACCGACAGAGGTTTTATATCCTCAGAATGGCCCCACTGCAGGGAGCTGGAGTCTCCAGTGCACCCCTAAAGAGCTGGAGCTCCCAAGGGACAGAGTTGGTCCCCTAGTCGTAGCCAGTGCTTCCATTCCCAGAGAGCTGAAGTGGGCCTCTTACTTTAAGGAAAACTTGTGCACACCCTTTGGGAATGTGATTAAATCATTAATCATACAGCAGCCAAAAGCTGCACACACTGACTCACGGATCGCGACAGTAAGCTGTGAGTTCCTCTCCAGATATGCCTATTTCTTTGAGGTTTTTCAGGCAGCTACCATACAATACAGCATGCCCCCTGTCCTGGGGAGAAGGTTTTTGCCTACAGTGACCTTGCCCAGGCTGGTCAGCAACTGGTTATCTGTGGTCTTGCTCCAGGAACCTGGCTGACCGCTCATCCAAAGCCCGGCTTGCTTCACCTAAAGATCCTAGTTTCTGATTCCAAGACCCTGGAGGAATCCCTCTTGTCCAGGATTCCAGAGGTAGAATGATAGTGTGATTGTAGGAACCATAGGGTGTGAGCTCCTGAGAGGATACCAGAAAGTTGTCCATGTCCACGCTGAAGGTATGCAGATGGAGAAAT